CACCCCCTACCCCCACAGCAGAATGAAACACTGCCCGGTCTTGCACCAGCCTCACAATTGTTATGTGACAACCCATTGTTTGCAACCGTGTGTCAATCCATCTTGTCCAGAGGCTCCTCTTTTTCAAAGAACCTCTACTTTACCAAGTACGGTGGCCTTTTCCAGGGACTGGTCTCTCCTGTTAGCACGTCCAAAGTACGCGGGACAAAGCCGGCTGTCCTCCCTGCATAGGCGCCCTCCGGCTGTGCATCTGGCTCCAGTACGGACGGATGCGTTCTCTGGCCGCCAGCGTCCTCTCAGTGTTCATTGCCAACATCAGGATCCAGACACACCGGTCCTTCTGTGGTCTTCCTTATTCACTGCCCAGCTCGCATCGAGTTAGGGTCAGGAAAAATCAGTTTATCTATCAATGGACATATCTGGATTAAGTTAGAGATCATCTTCCCAAGCTGCCCCATGAGCTAGAATTGGGTTTCAGTGGTCATCAGCGCAAACTTTCCCTCCAGTTTGCCATGGTGCCTGGTGTTTCTTGAGGTAAAACTTTATGTATATATATTTTGTTTGTTTTGTTGTGACTATACATAGCCCAATACACCGACTCCACATGTTCTACATGTACAATTCCATATTAACTATATTCTTCTAGTTCTGCTGCCTTTTGCCTTCCTCTTCCAACTGTCCTTTCCCTCTGGGCGGAAACACACAGCCCCCCAACTTTCCTGTTTGATCTTTTGCGTTGCTGCCGTTCACTGATCCCGTGTCGCCAGATCTTGAAAAACCACCAACCTGAAGGAAGGCAGACATTCTGTACTTCTTACACTGAGCTGTTGCTGGATCTCAAGACGACCCCAGGGGGTAGTTTTGGTTTCAAGTTCAAGATGATCTCAGGGTAATGGCTTTAGGGGTTTATTCTGAAGTCTTGGGGTTAGCTGTTGACTGTTTTCTAGAAGACTTAGGAGAATTATAAGAGGGAGTGTCTGCAAGTTCATGGGAAAATGGAATGAAAAGATCATGGAATTTTCCCACGAACTTTTTGAAGCTACCCTCTTGTATTTGGAAGGAGTGGAGGGAAAACAGGTGTGGAACTAGGATTCTCCCTGGGGAGGCCTGGCCAGGCCGACTGGGCAGCAGTGACAGGGAGGTGCCTGATGGGGTCCTGCTGCTGCTTCGGCCCACTTTCTCCACCCACGGAAGTCCTAGAATATACGGATCTGCCAGGCGGCTGGGTGCTTAGCTCTTGACCCCTAAGCATCACACTCTGACCAAGGTCAAGTTGCCAAAAAAAAAAAAAGCTCTGTGATCTTGGGTCAACCAATAGAGCCTTTCATCTTTCCCTCCCTAGGGAATTGTGGGGGAGGGATCCTAGTTGTGACTCTCTGCAGGGATTCATTTGGGGACCTAATCTTTTTTTTTTTAATTAAAAATTTTTTTTGAATCGGTTTATTAGGGGCTCATATAACTCTTATCACAATCCATACATACACCAATTGTGTAAAGCACATTTGTACATTCATTGCCCTCATCATTCTCAAAACATCCACTCTCTACCCAAGCCCCTAGCATCAGCTCCTCATTTTTCCCCTCCCTCATGATAATTTGATAATCACTTTGATAATTTACAAATTATTATTTTGTCATATCTTGTACTGTCCGACGTCTCCCTTCACCCACTTTTCTGTTGTCTGTCCCCCTGGGAGGAGGTTGTATGTAGATACTTGTAATCGGTTCCCCCTTTCCAACCCACCCTCCCTCCACTCTCCCAGTATTGCTACTCACACCACTGGTCCTGAAGGGATCATCCACCCTGGATTCCCTGTGTTTCCAGTTCCTATCTGTACCAGTGTCCATCTTCTGATCTAGTCAAATTGTAAGGTAGAATTGGGATCATGATAGTGGAGAAGGAGGAAGCATTTAGGAACTAGAGGAAAGTTGTATGTTTCATCGTTGCTACCTTGCACCCTGACTGGCTCGTCTCCTCCCCGAGACCCTTTTGTAAGGGGATGGGGACCTACTTTTTTGGTCATCCTTCCCTCATCCTACTCTTCCCCCTCCAGTGACCCCACTCTTCTTTTGTGTACCACCAGGCGAGCCCATCGGAATGAGGAGCTTGGGGGTTCTGGCTCCACTGGCTTTCCTCCTCCGGCTTTGCTTTTGTTTAGAATCTCCTTCAGACTCCCAAGTGGGCTCCAGGGCCTGGGTGGGGGAGACTGGGGAGCAATCTGGCGTGCCTTCTTTACTCGGCACCACCAACCTCACTGTGTCCCCTCTGCCTTGAGTTTGGGGACCAGCGTTTTTGGTCAACACTTTTTGGAATTTGTGGTGAGTCTGATGCTAACAAGACTTAAGTCCTAGCCTCTGCCTTCGGGCTCCTCTTCCCCACTTGGCTCTGTGGACATTGTCTGAGCACCTGTGTGCCAGGCATGAGGCTGGCCCCATGGTGGAGTCTAGACAGGCTGGTGACCTGTGTCCTGGTACAAAAGAGTCTTCTCTCCCACAGGTGTTAGCGAAGGAGGATGGGAACTTGGTCCAGGATTCCAACGTGGTGCTGGAGATCCCCGCTTCCACCACCATCGCCTACAGTGTCATCGAGTTATATGTGACACTGGACGGCCAGTTTGGTGAGTGCTGGCCTCTTGCCTGGGCTCTCTCAAGTTGGTTGAAGAAGGGCACCTATTGTTCCCCCGCGGCACAGCTCGTAGATGATCCCATACTGCTTTGAGGGACCATGGGGAGAAAAGCAAGAGAAAGCAGAAGCAGACGCCCATGACCTGGCCCCTGGACCCATGGGATACATTAGGTAGGCCTCGGGAAGGGGATTGAGGAGCAGCTCGGACTTCTTACTCCAGATACGTAAAGTTCCACCCGGGTGGCCCAGACTGGCATCCACCCCAGCACCGCCACACCCTATGAGGTCTCAGGCTGCTCACCCTTCTCTACACAGAAGGTGTGAGGGTTTGATTCGATCAGGCACATGAAATACTGGGCACAGGGCCCCTTCTGAACTGTCCACTTTCGCTATTAATAATCGTATCATTGGTATTATTCCTCCCCACCTCTCCATAGCCCGCTGCTACCCACTCGAGTTTGACTCATCGTGACCCTACAGGACAGAATACAGCTTCTTAGGGTTTCCCACACTGCCTTGTCTTCCTCCTGCAAAGCAGCTGGTGGGTTTGAACTGCCAACACGTTGCATCACCAGAAGTACCGAACTGATCCTCTTCTGCTAGTTACAAGCTTGGCAATCTGGGCTGTTGCCATCAAGTCGAATCTGACTTGTAGAGACCCTGTGTAAGGTTTCTGGGACTGGGACTCTTTACAGGAGCAGCCTCATCTTTCTCCCATGGAGGAGCTGGCGGGTTTGAACCACTGACCTTCATTACCAAACCCCCACAGCACCACCAGGGTTCCTTGTCCGTTGCCATTGTTTGGAGAAAGCAGGGCCTTTGCTTTAGCTGTTGTCTGCTGACTGACGTGCTCATTCACCGCTCACTGCCCATTCCCCAAGAAAACTGGCCACTTCTTGAGGATGTGAACACATCAATTTAAAGGGATAAATCATTGTGAATATTTTAGGTATGAAAACGATAAGTATAGTCACATTTATTTTTAAAAGACTCCTTATTTTGAAACGATTTCTCCTGAAATACATATCAATGAAATGTCTGGGGTTTGATTAAAATATGTGAGTGTGAGTGGAGTGTAAGGGGTCTGTGCCTGTTGGGGAGAAGGACGACTGGCCATCGTCCCCGGGTTGTTGAAGCTAGACCATGGATCAGTCTGCTGCTCTCTCGGTTCTTGTTCAGCTTGGGACTGAGCTTAATAACAACATGTGCTATAGCGCGTGTCTGCTCTCGACGCCCACTCTTCTTTTTTTCTCTAGTCAAGAGGCAAGACCAGGAGGGCATCTTGAATTAATTAGCTTCTGGCACGTAGGAAGCCCTCTCAGAGTGACCAGATGGTTCAGTGACAACTACAGGGGCTCGGAGAAGACCAGCATGTGAACTGGCACCCTGTTTGCACATGACTATTGAAAAGGCAGTGGGTGTTTGAGCTTCAGTGGCAGAGACAGCCCTGGAGGCTGACCTTTCTTAGGCATGTGCCCCTGTTTCACTAATGTGGCAGCCTGCCTCTAGGTAGGTGACATGATTTGCCCGATGACATAAAGAGGAGGTGTTGATGTTAAGAAACAGGTTTAGAGAAGTAAGTCCTGGGCCACACACTCACTCACTCACTCACTCACTCAAACTGTTGGCTCACAGTGACTCCCTGTGGGTGTCCGAGACTGTCACTATTGACGGGAGTAGAAAGCCCAGCCTTTCTCCCTTGGAGCTGCTGGTGGTTTCGAACTGCTGACCATGCGGATGGCAGCCCAGTGTGTAACCACGACACCACCAGGGCTCCACAAGTCAGGGCCACAGACGGCATGAGAAGAATCGTGTTTCCAAATCCTCATGTCATCCTGGGCATTGTGGAAACATTTTATCCTCCTTTTGGAAAGAAAGGTATTTACCATTCTTTGTGAAAGGATGAGTCCTGCGACCCTTGTTCCCATCCATATAGTGTTACCACCTGTGCTGGTTCAACTGCCCCCTCACTGCAGGGGAATGTGTTGTGTTTATAAAAAGACATCCCAGTTTACTCGTGGCCGACAAAGAAAAACCAAGAAGAATCTGAAGTTCAAAAGTGTGGATGAACTGGAATGCTAATGCGAACAGGAAAAATTATGAGTTGATGCCCTTTTAGAAACTTAATCTCCCTCTTAGAAAACTAGGGAATTGTGTGTGTTGCATAGCAACCAAGTCTCTTGACTGGCAGAGTTGGGAACAACAGTGTCAGGCTCAGAGACGGCAGCCGACACACTGACTTGAATGAATGTCTGGGTCTCCACAACCCGGACCATCATCTAGCCGCCCACATCAGGCTCCTGGACGGGCTCCCTTCTGAGTCCTCCCTTCTAGACTCCAACTGCGATTTTGTCCCCTTCTGGTGATGGTTCTGCTTTACTGAGATTGTTCTGAAGACTTTGCTGTGGAGGTCTTGACTGAAGCCCAGATTTTGAGGTCTTTGGAAATCTTAGCTCCACCTGCGAACTCTCTGGACCCTTTGGTGACCTGGGGCCAGAGTCACAAGCCACTTCTTCTTTGCTCAGGGAGGCAGCTGTGCTCTGCCAGGCCTGCAGCTTTAGGGCAGCCCGTGGCTCCCTCCTGGGCCTCTAAGACACAGCATTGCCCTGCTCAGCCCGTGGCTCCCTCCTGGGCCTCTAAGACACAGCACTGCCCTGCTCAGCCCGTGGCGCCCTCCTGGGCCTCTAAGACACAGCACTGCCCTGCTCAGCCCGTGGCGCCCTCCTGGGCCTCTAAGACACAGCATTGTCCTGCTCAGCCCGTGGCGCCCTCCTGGGCCTCTAAGACACAGCACTGCCCTGCTCAGCCCGTGGCTCCCTCCTGGGCCTCTAAGACACAGCATTGCCCTGCTCTGGGTCCTCTTGTTTGCATTTCAATGTCAAGCCCTTTTTTTAGCTTGCTTCCGCTGTCTTTGAAAATAAACTCCTCTTTGTGCTGCTGAGACAAGAGGTACCCTGGGGGGTTTCTCAGCAATCCCTTTGGCTTCTCTCCTACATGCTGCCCTTAGAAGCAGCGCTCTGGCTCTTTCCCACTGCTGGAGCGGCGCTGTTCCCTGTGACTCACTGCCAGGTTTTCAAAGCAGTTCTGCTTTTCTTGCCCATCTGTGTTTTCGATCACTCCTGCCATAGAATGTTCTGGTTCAGCGTTCATACACATAGACTCATAGGAACTGCAAGGAAGGGCCGTCTAGAGACGGCCTGATCTCTCCTCCTCCCCACTGGGTGGCATTGCATCTGCCAGGGGTCCTGTGTATCCTTTGCATCGGTGAGAGGAGGTGAGGGGATATCTGGAGGGGGGTGCTCAGG